TAAAACAGCAAACATCGAAAATGAATTGGTGATGAAAATTTTGGGAGGTTTTAAAAATCAGTTTTAACTAAAGAATTGAGGAAAATCAAGTAGAATTCCTTTTCAGTGTTAGATGAGTGGGCAGTCGCATTTACATGTATTTGACCTTTATCAAGAACAATACAGTAAAACTAAAAGACCAAAATAATGTTTGGCATGCTATGCTGTTGACATTCCTTAGAAGCTACAAAAACTCTGCCAAAGTCTTTCAAAACACTGTAATTGTTGCCCTGACTGGAATGCCATAATAGGCCATGTGTCAGGTCCCTCACACTGGGTCGGTCAATGCCATCACTATTTACCTCCACCAACACGCAAAGGCACACCAGTCTCCAAAAATAGTCAGAACAATCAAACCATACCATCAAGAAAACAAATTAACCCTTGATGAACTCTTGACCTGAAAGAGGACAACAGACAACCAAAATTCTATTAAACCAAGGGCAAAACAAGATATCAAGCTACCTTGATGAAGGTTAGACATCCAGGTAATGAGATACACACACAAAATTGTTACTGTCACTGATGTAAAGTACAGTGGATGCTACTTGAAACTTCTGACAGTTTCAAAATCCTATCCAGTTGCTCGAGTAACAATTTCTTGTGGACGCTATCAAGCTCCTTGGATTTTGGGATTCCTGAGAAAAGATGTACAGTAAGATATGAGACCATCCATCATTAAAGAGAGACTACTCCATCAGTTCTTGACATCCTAGCCACAATAACTGCCTGCACAGCAATAACACCCAGACAACCAATTTACTAACAGCGCCATTCACCACTCAAACCATTCTCTACAAATTACTCCATAGCCTTATAAAAGCCATTCTACATATAATAAGAATGCCTTTTGCCTTATTTCTATCTAACATACTGTTAAAAGTAGTCTTACGATTTTCCTTGCTCATATTGCCACAGACGTCCGGACTGTTGTACAAGGATTGACCCATCTTGGGGAGTAATCATTTTCTGAGCTTACCTCAGCAAAAATGATAACAATTCATACTGTAAGTCTGAGAAGACATCCACTGGTGCTGTGAGCACAGTAGCAAACCCCTTCTTTTGAAGATCACAAAACTGTCTCTCTGTTTTTACAGTCTCAAACGAGTCCAATAGCTTATGCTTCAAAATTATACAGTTTATTTATCCTGCTTGTAAAGTAAATTTTTTTCAGTTTTAAAATTGCAAAAAGGACTTTTTGTACGGTACCCTTATCCAGTCCCTGAGGACCATGTATCATAAGGACAGGGATAAAAGAGGAACGAAATAATCACCATAAAATACCAAAGACTTAATGCATCAAATTCTGTGAGAGCCCTTTCACATACCTTGTAAGACAAAATACCCGTATTTGTAAGTCTCGTGCAATACAAGCCTTAGAGATTTAAGTGTTTGTATCTTAATGTTATACCGGATTGAGACAAAATGCTGAACATTTATGTTCTCCATACTGATAATGCTTGGGCAAAGGAGACCATAAAAAAACCATGCCAAGACACATTGGTACAAATTAAGAGAAGCCAAAAAAACACTATCTACTAGGAGATGTTTTACAAAGCAGAATCTAGTATTCTTTCCAGTGGGCCTAAGTAAGTAAGATAGTATTCCCTCAAAATAACTCTAAGACCTTACCTTCAGTGTCTGCCATGTTCAAGAAACATCCAGTAAAATTTCAAAACACTGCACTGGCTGGTTTAGCGAGTTTTGACTGAAATCACAGTGGACCGACTTTGAACCCAGCAGATTGAACCTTTGCCTTTTGCCTGTCCTAATGGGTAAATACATGAGTCCACCGACGCTCCACAACTGTAAATTGACCTTTCTCAACATAGTATCACATGTTATTTACTGGGTACACAGAGAATTGGCTTGATCAGGGCTGGGAATGGTGTGTCATCCATCCTTAACTTGTCACTTTGCTACATTATAGAGGGGTGCAGGGAACAGATAAGCATCAAATGGTCCCCACACAGCAACAGTCGTGGCATATTGATATCTGCATACAGCTGACTTGTATGTTATTTTCCCAGCCTGTGACATAGAATAAAATAGCCTTCAGATCTGAATCGCTTTCACATACAGTAAAGCTCACATGTGAAAGTATCTGACAAATTCTGGTATTGTTTTTTAGTTCAACAACTTTTCCAACACTGAAAAATACAGAGCCTGTAACAATGTAGAATAAAATAGCCTTCAGATCTGAATCGCTTTCACATACAGTAAAGCTTATGTGTGAAAGTATCTGACAAATTCTGGTACTTTGTTTTTAGTTCAACAACTTTTCCGACATTGAAAAATACAGAGTTTGCAGGTTAGTTTCGCAATCAGGCAACTACATGTTGTCACTGAAATACACAAAGGTAGGAAGTTCCAGGTTCATGTTGATGGTAAAATAAAGGCAATAGGTGCTGTCACAGTGGAAATGCAAGGTACATGTACAGCAAAGAAATGAAGCTTTTATATCAACTGACTTTATGTGGAATCAGAAGGTCTGGGTTCAAATCCCTGTATAATGCTGTTAATGTCAGAGTGTCAAGTAAGAGCAATTAAATGATCCTTCAAACAATTTGGTTTCTTTCGTTTTTCAATGGAATGTTTCACAAAGGAAGGAGAGTTCTCATGTGTGAAAGACAAAATGACACCATGACATTTCCAAAACATTGAATTTTTCCTCACTATTGAACAAGCCTTCCCATAGGTAGCATACATAGTCCAGTGGTTATTAGCGACCCTGCAACTAGAAGTTCAGAGTTTGAATCAAGTTTATGGTCAAAAAGACCTAGGGGATTCTCCCTGGTAAAATAAACCTGCAAATACTGTGCATAGCGTCTGTCTTCTCTGTCACGAGCAGTGGAAAATTAGCTCTTCAGTGATCTAAATTGGTTTGAGACCACTGTCCATCTATTCTCCATCGCTACAACCTTCCTAAATGAGCATCCATGTTGACAAGCATGATGGGTAGCAGTTAACAGTGAAAGGAAAACAGAATCTGTTTGTTCTGAAATAGGATGCTAGGTTTACTCCCACTAGTGCCAATCACAGCTAGAAAGAAAAAACAGCACCCAAATAGAACTTCCATATCAAAGTAAGACTGACATATCCTTCGAAAGAAGGAATGTTTGATAATTTCACATTTTCCTACAATACCTTTCCCTAAAACTCTTTCAATTGAATGTCTTTGTCACCTTAGGATCACTCTCACATCTACACATCTAGGGGGCCTGGGTGGCAAATTTTGGATTTAAAAACAATTTCCCACATTCTAAGGGGCAAATCATGGGGTTGAGAGTGGTTATTGTTGGTCCTTTCGATGTTTCTATATCATTTTAGCCCAAGATTTTTGTCAGTTTTGTCCATCAAGGTTGGTGGATTGGTTCAAAAATTTTTCCGTCACATGACAACAAAGTTCCTGCAATTGACAAAAAAAATGGGTGCTGGCTAGAGCACTGAGTATCATACACATGTGGTACAGTGTATCATCACCCCCCACCCCCTTTACCCACCTCAGTAGTATATAGAGTTCTTGATAACCTTTGCTCTAGTATCAATAAAAGATGATCAGAGAATAAAATGCTTACCTCATAGTTCCATACATTCAAAATACAACTGAAAACCTTTGCTTGGGTCTTCTCACACAGAAATAACAACCTTGCCCTACATAAACTACTTAATATACCATTGCTAAAAACTTGCTACTTAACGTAAAAATGAACCATCTTCACCCTTACCTTTCATCCATTCCATTTTTCCCCGTGGAGTCCATTAAAAATCCATTGGTAACTGTTTTGTCTGTGTTTTATAGGAAATGTTGATAATTTCCCAGGAATTTTAATGCTTCGCCAATGGGCCCACGGTCGGAAAGCTTTTAACTTTGGCCCCAGACATACGATGAATCAATCGGATCAAAATCAAATTTCCGTCGTCGCAGCGTTTAGGAGTCTTTCCCCACAACGAGAAGGATCCAAATCAAGCTCACACGGGGGTCAGGTCTAGTTAAAAGGTTGACGAAAATCCCAGACTTGAGTCAAAAGATCAACGTGAAAATTTTCTGCTGTCTCCGGACATATGATATATAGAAGTATCATACTTAGATTAATCACTCTTGAGATTTAGCAGTGCTAGAGCCAGACAGGATCCCCGTGTCAAAGTGGTGTTGAGTCATGTAACATCCATACTGTAAATCACATAATCTTTGCTAACTACAAATCAGCCTTTGAGGTTTTTTACAATTATTTCCCAATCAAAGCCAAAAGTTTCTGGAAAAACTTGAAGCAAAACTTGTCTTGTAAAGGTAACATTTTTTACAGAAAGACAGGGAAAAAGAAGCTGTTTTACGTAACTTAATTTCAGTGAAACTAAGTGAGTTTACGGTACCATAGACTGTCCCAGGTTGAAACGCTATTGTGTTTCCTTCAGTCTCTTGTAATGACAGGCCTAAAATCTCCCTGGGATTTTTGAAAGCCAATTATCAGATTCCCTGGAGCCAGATTGGCTACCTTACCCACCCACTCAAGGACAATGGTACGGCCCGCCATAGGTGGGTATGCACAATGGCACATTCCATGTTACAAAACAGGGGTGATGAAAAATAATTTTGATGGATACCCACTGAGGGACGATTCAACTTTGGTTAAGACACTATGACAAATGATTAAATATGATATACTCAGTTATAACATCATAAAAGAGGATTAATACAATTGATAAAGTTATAATATCATAAAAAAATAAAAAGGTTTCCCCTCTCTTCAACCTAAATGGCATATCCCACATAATGATATTACCAATGTCTGTATTGTCAAAAGGAGCATGTTGAAAACAATTAGACTATATACAAATTTCATGACAGGTAAAAGCAGCATTGCACGAGAGAACTCTCCAGTTACAGCCCCAGTCCGTTACCCACCAATTTGCATAATTAATAATTGACAGAGTCTGTTACGCATCCTTCATCATTATTTCATAGTTTGCATTGGATGAGGGGGGCTCAAGACCAGGAATGGTAAGATGCTATGGATTTTTGTCTACAATCTAACTTATTCTGTAAATGTGTGCTTTTGATATAATTCAAATATATAGTACATAATAGTATAATTAACATATAGTAATATATAGTAATATAAATAGTCTTCCGGTCAGCTTTCTTGAGTTTCTTCTTTAATTGTGTAGCAAACACCTTGAAAGGCTACTGACTGACTATTCAGAGAAAATGTTGCATCCTTATTTGATATAAATGAAAAAGAATGCATCTATTTGTGAGAATTTCAATTTTCTTGCAACTTAAAGTACTTTCAGATATGTCCTCCTTTTTTCCATCAATAGTTAAATAATTCACATGCTTCATGTGCATTGCTACTAACCAACTCATCCACGAGAAGGTTTGCAAGTTTTTCTTCATCATCTAGTTTAAAGTAATACATGTACATCTCACAGGACAGCGCTTATGTAAACCACATCATCATCATCATTCATCCTCCGTAGAGGTGGAGCATACAAAGTTAGTTCGCCACAACTGTCTGTCATACATCACTGAGATGTAAAACATTTACTACATTAGAAATTCTAAAAAATTCCCAAAAATGACTAAATATTCATACTCATAGTCATTTTTATTTCAATATAATGCATTTACTAGAGTTAAAAGATGATAATTTGGGGAATGACTGTAGTACTAGTATGTTCTTGCTAAGTTTGCTTGTGAAGAAGAGACACTTTAAGGTTCCTATGATGTCACTGACCCCTTTTTCCTGATTTCTAGTGGTATTTTGCTGTAAGCTCATGATTCATAAATGCACAAACACATTTAAATGAATCCGCACCCCAACAAGACTTTTTCAACTTAACACACACACACGTGTACACAAATGTACCTTTACAGTGAGTTGTGAACTTAAAAGGCATCAAATTATAATTGTCTAGAAAAACAAAATCAATCATAGATCACGACACCTTTCTGATGCCTACTCTTTAGTTCACCTGTATTTTACTGTCTCCCTACATTGCTGCATAAATGGTAAAAAAAAAATTAAAACTGTAAATCCAATTTGAGAATGTTAATACATTAAACAAACAAAAAATGGTAACACTTATCCACTCCAACTGCTACTTCTGTTTTCTTAGTCTAAGTCTAACACTTTCAGGATGGAATTGAGTACAGGTGACCATAGATTTACATGTAGGTCTGTCTAAAGACTCTAAACCATCAATAAACATCCATCAACTGAAATTAACTATCTGTAACAGTAAACTACTCCTCACCTCTGCCATACTTGACATAATAGATGTCACACACAGAAGGAGATCCTCTCATCTTATAAACATACGTCTGCTACGAATGATCCGTCAGTACCGAAGACAGGGATAATCAAGTCGTTTCATCATCATATCACCCCCTGAATGACAAGACTTAATGAATTACCCTCCTGCTTTTACACTGTTGATTAGTGGGATCTATTATAGGGACTGTTCCATCTACTTTTGTAGGGGCGAATGGGACATGTAAATGTAGTTTTTCCCCCTGTGCAAATTGGTGGGGATTCAATTTTTTTAAATCTTTTTATCCCCAGAAAAATATGAAGCTCATTTTCTACCATCTAGTTACTGTGGTACATTTTCAGAATGGAAAATAGACTTTGGACCCTTTCATGTACACTAATCACGGAGAATAAAAATGATGAGAAGGTGTTTTCCCCAATTAAGATGAACCACCCAGACTCTATTAAGTGAATTACAATCCTAGTGCTGATTATCATACAAATCATGGCCATGCTTTTTACCAAATGAAAATACTACCAGGTCCTACATCTCATTAATGTTATTACCTAAAGTATATACCCATGTGAGGCTAGCTGAAAAATATACTTCATCTCTCATACCACCTTTGAGTTTATCTTTCCAACATTTCATTGCAATTATCATTATCTATATTGCACATGCACATGTTTTGTATACATAGTCATAATACCGGTAAGACTTTTATGCTACAATCCTAATAGTATAAATCCATTAATCATGAAAGCATTTGTCTGGCAATCTCTAAATACTGTAAATACATTTTATTTTACTTTCGCAGTATGAGTGAAAATAATGTTTTGGTATTCAAAGTTTAAACAATTCTGTAGCAGACTAGAATTAGAAATACAAAACAAACATTTCTAGTGTCGTGATTTCATGTTAACTATACAAGGATGCTGTGAATACCACAAAAATAAAGCATCGCAAACATTTAACGATTTACAGTATTAGCCTTAACCTTTCAATGTACTAGATGTACAAATTGTGCATTTCGATTGTGGTTCTGTTTTTGCCACCTAAATACATATTGGATCCCTCTAACTTCTGCTTGGTGCAGCCTATCCACAGTCAGTATAATCACACTGGCACCATTCATGTCCCCGTGGGAGGAAAAATCATCGTTTTTCATTCAGGTCAGATTAAACAAAATAGAACCTGCCACTCGTCTGAGCTCATAAGTCACATCCACTGCGACCTGACTGAGAGGCGTGTCATTGTACCAGGAAGCCAGGATATTCCCCATATCAGGAAATATGGACAACCCAATTTCCAGGAAAATTGTTCTAAGAACATTCTAAGAACAATTTCAAATCCACTGCTAAATACATGTACTTTGTAACTGAGAGGCATGTCCTTGTACCAGGAAACCAGGAAATTCTCCATATTAGGAAATATGGACATCCCAATTTCTAGGAAAATTGTTCTAAGAACAATTTCAAATCCACTGCTACCTACATGTACTTTGTAACTGAGAGGCATGTCCTTGTACCAGGAAACCAGGAAATTCTCCATATTAGGAAATATGGACATCCCAATTTCCAGGAAATTGTCGTGGGAACAATTTTTCTTTGAAGACAAAACCTAAACCTTTACAACAGTAGAGTATATTGATTTTTGCTGTAAAAGCTCTATTGGAATTAAGAAACATTTCAATGAACTTGATACTGGCAAAATACTGGCACAATAGTAAAACAACATTACCAAAATAAAGACTTCTGTTTCTGTTCAACTATGGTACAGGGTGCAGAAATATGTTTCATAGCACTGATTATACATGTGATGCACAATATTCTGTGCTGAATAGACTCTATTGAAGAAGGTAACAAATGTCTCTTTTATTTATATTTCTATGTATTGTAAGAAACAGAAGTGAGCAGTAGAAACAGATAAAAACCCTCCTGGTCCCGGGCCGGGGTTCGATCCTAAGACCTCCCGGGCACCAGTATGCCGCTCTAACCGCTCGGCCGAAAATGTCTAGACCCATCGGCCGTGTCAGTTGGTAGCGCCTATAAACCCTCCACTGTTACAGTGTTATGCTGTTCAACTGTAGAAAAGACTCACCATAGAGTTCATGGCGAAGTGGCTGTGCTCTGCCTGCAGCTCCAGAGCGATCTTGTGCGTGGCTCCGATCTCCGTAAAGTTGACCACAAATAGTTCCTTGTTGTGACTCAACCACTCAAACATCTGAAAGCAACAGAAACCACAAACTGTTAACATGCCTGTCATTACAAATGACAGGAAAATTAAAGAGGATTACACGTAAGTCTGTTCAAATTGTATAGTTGCAACAAAATACATCCACAAATATCTTACTTAGCCCTGATCTACAAACTACTGCACAATTTGACAAACTACACGTACCTCCAGAAATCTAAATATCATTAACATTAATCAAGTGCTCAGAATTGATCCCTTGCTTCTTTTCTTCTTACTATTGCTTGAAGCCCAGTCTCTGGCTACTGGTTATGTACCATTTTTAGGCCACACCAATTTAATTTGTTGGTTCTCGGATTCGCCTCTTCATTTTTTTCTGATTTGCAAAAAAAAAAAAAAAAGATTCTGGTTCTGAATCAACTAAAAAATGCTCATAT